CCCACGCTCGTGCAAAAGTCACTAATTGGTGTTTCATACTCACTACCTCGATCACTTCTAACCGTTTTAAATGTCGATTAAGTTTGTTTTCCACTTCATTCTTATAAAGAATGAATTTATCGATTGCTTCGTGTTTATTTTTTAATAAATAAACATAGCTATAGCGAGTGCTATCATTGATAAAAGTAATAAAATATTTATTACCGCCACATGTTTGTATTGATTTAAAATCACAAACGTCACTATGAATTAATTCAAGTGGTTCCGTTTTTCTTTCAACCGATTTGAAAGACGTTTTCATTAGTTTTGCCTCTACACAAACTTCACATTTGTGTTTCACATCAATTGTGAATTTAGGATTGTGTTCCATGTTAATTAATCTACATATAGAATTAACATTAACATGTCCTACTCTACCCTGCAACACATTGGAAGACTCAAGCAAGTAAGCAGAAAAGATTTTATTATCATTATTAATAATAGTCATTACATTGAGCTTAAATAGTTCATCAACTGCATACCCCTTCTCCACATACATTCCTGACTTCGACAAAACTAGTATGTCCGACTCAAAAACCATGCAGAAGCCATGCTTGTTCAATAACGAGCTGGAAATCAGGTTTTTGCGTATCTCCGGAACGAACATCACATGGTTGAGAGTCAACTCAGTGCCCGAAGTCATATTCAGGATCACCTTGCCCACGCCTTCAACCGCGGAATGAGCAGAATTTATCATCCACACCTTTTCATCATTTGATGGCTCAAAGGTCATGAATAGCTCCCAATTTGAGCAAATATGCCGGGTAGCACCGGTGTCCACGAACCACTCCTTGGAATTGGATCCAATGAGGTTGACCTCGGTCACCACGGCCGCAAGGATAATGTCTTCATCCTTTTGCCCACCTTACACCATGTTGACTTGAGAGTCTTTCTTCTTCCTTGGTGTCTTGCAATCCGAGGACTTGTGTCCATTCTTATTACAATTGAAGCATTTTCCATTGAACTTTCTCTTGGAAATGTCTCCATTGAGACCGAGCTTGCTCTTCCCATTATTTTTGGTTTTTGGAGCTCTTTGCATGCTCCACCACATTTGTCTTTGCGCCGTTAACGATTGAGAGTTTCCCATCGTTCTTCTGGTTATCCTCTTCAATCCGAAGACGGAGGATCAATTGCTCCAAGTTCATTTCCTTTCGCTTATGCTTAAGGTAGTTCTTGAAATCTTTCCTAGCCGGCGGCAACAAATGTATAATTGACGGCACTTGGAAAGACTCGCTAACCGTCATTCCTTCATCTCGAATTTCATTGAAGATCATTTGCATCTCCTCAACTTGACTCAAGATAGTCTTCGAATCCACCATTTTAAAAACAAGGAATCGGCCGACAACAAATTTATTTGCACCAGCATCATCGCTCTTATATATGTGGTCCAAAGCATTCCATAGCTCCTTACCCATAGCTAATTTGCTATAAACGTCATACAAAACATCATGCAGCCCATTCAACACGTAGTTTCGGCAAAGGAAGTTAGAATGCTTCTATGCCATAACCTTGTTGAGAGATTGCACATCCACGTCACCCCCGGTTACTACCGGCGTGTCTTCGGTCAAGAACCTAGCAAGACCGAGAGTAGTGGGGTAAAATAACATCTTTTACTATCACCTCTTGAATTTTAACCCATTGAATTTTTTGGGTTTCTCCACAGAGTTGCTTGGCACGGTAACCATAGGGATAGCCCTTTGGTTGTCCAAAGCAGATGCTCCACGTTGTGAACTATTGTTCACCGGAGCTCCACTTTCAGAGTGATTGTCGTTCAACACATTCTGCCCAACAACATTCTGGTTTTCTTGAAAAGTCATTTTCATTTCTTAAGTTTTCCGAAAACACAAAAAAATTAAGTTCGTTCACAAGAGTGACAAACTACATTTTAAGATTGTTTGCCGCAGTACAATAATAAACGAATACGTTTTAAGTTTGTTGGGTGTGTTTCGAAAAACAAAGAAAATAATTAATAAAATGACTAAAGAAAATAGAAAGTAGATGAAGCAAAATTTAGCCAAAGCTCGTGCAACACAAGATGTCCTTAAAACGTATTCGTTGCCCCCGGGGTGCTAGGAGCGTTGCAATGATCGTTTCCCAGGATACAATGACTATGAACAATTATTTGAGCACTCAAACGAATTGTTCGGGCGAACGTGAACAAAGGCAGAACACGAAGGAATATTTCTGGAATGCTAGATGTGTTTTTAGAGCTAAAGAGTGCGTGAGTTCGTTTTTGAACGTGTTGTTGCAAACCACCTGCTAGCCATTAACTCGTGTTCGTTTTAATGGAAATGAACGTTGGACATCAATGTCCAGCACGTTGGCATTGATTCGTCCATAAATGTCCATTTAATTGCAGCAATAACCTTCTCCAACAGGGAGAGTAGCAGCATGTTCTAGCGAGGAGAGCAGCAGCAACCTGCTGCGAACACGAGTCCGCGCACATGAGTCGCGATTTTTCTTTTCCGTTTTCGGGATTTGATCGGCACCCCGTGCGCGCGAAGAGAGCCTTTCCACCTAAGAATCACATCTCCTTCAAATGAGGTTCCCTTTATAAGGGGGTGAAAATCCCTTGGGTTTTCCGGTGTGGGATAAAACACATTGGAAACCCATAATTTTCCTAGTTTTCTCCATTTCGATGAGTGAACTTCGAGAATCAATTTCTCATTCACCCGTTATCCGGTTAGCAAAGACAATCCGAAACCACTTAGACCGATCCAAATCGGAAGTGGACCCAGTCAAAAAATTGCCCCAACATGACAATTTAATGCAACTTATTAACACATTTTGCAACAGTAGTTTTAGTATTATTTTTAGTTTTGATTATTCATTTAGTAGCAGGAGCTTCTATATTGATAGAATATCATCCCATTGTAGCTTTAGGCTATTGAAATCCTTTTGCACTGATCATTTTTACTATTAATAAATACTCCGTAAGTGTTTTCAATTCAAAAAAATATATTGTAGTGTGTAAGTATTCACAAAGTAATTAACAAAAAATATTGTAATAATTATATATACTTATAGTTAAAATCAAATTCGTTTTTCAAAGATTGGTTACAAAACAAGAGTTAAGAAAATGTATTTAGTCAAACACACCATTAAAAATTTAAGTTTGATATAGAAATACAAACATCTGTATTGTTCTCTTACACTTGCATAAAACTAACAATATATAATCAAAGTTACAACATATTCACCGTACTATACTATACTATTGTTTTCTTTTATTATGCAAAGACTACACATTGTGTATCATCATAATAAAGAGAATTCTAATAATAGGTGTAAAACATGATTAAAAGAATAAAACACGAGTATGTATTTTTTAGAAAACAAATAAAACTAGGAGTTTTTTTAAAAGAATAACCCCTGCAGGCATTAGCCTTGTCACTACAACTGTGCCGTTGCCCGCCACCAATATGTTTTCCGATCGTCGGAGCTCCACCCTAGTTGCAGCCGCCACCACTGGACCGCCCCACCACCGACGAACTGATTTGTTACCAAGACACTTGACCCGTTAACACAATTCATTATGTTAATGAATTAAATTAGAGGTATTAATCTTTTAGGGGAAGAAAATTAATGTTTACTTCTATTTAAGAAAATTTAGAAATGAATTCATATATAAGGAAAAGTAGTTTCCTTATGTTTTACTCCTATTAAATGTACTAGCTTTCAAGCCCGTGCGATGCACAGACGACAGTATGTAATTTAGCTAATTTGAAATTTAATTTCTATCGGATCACATATAATATGATTTAAAAGAAAAATAAACTTACTCTAATATAGAGTCTGTTTGATAATACTAAAGTAAATAGAATTAACTTATTTTGCTGAAATTGATTGAATTCTGGTTAAATAGGTGGAATCTTCTGAATCATGAAAAATATATGTGAAATATATTCCATTTGTGAAACAAAGAAAAAAAATATGAAAAAAAATTAAATTGGTCTTCTACATAAGCATCTCAAGTAAACTAACTGTTATGAACCCAATAATAAAAAAAATTTATATGTCTTAATTGTTAGATCTTACGGTTTACTCATTAATAAGAACGTTTTTAATTGAATTAAAATTTCAGGTTTGATTTGGTATGAATTAATATGGTCTAATAGATGTCTGTTTTTTATGTGACTTATTTTTATAATTATTAAAGTTTGATCTGATCTGATTTAATCTGAAACTAAAATCAATCCAATTAAAAACATTCTATTAAAATAAAAGTAGGAATTCGTAAAACTATAAAGATTTTCTAATTTGGATTAGGAATCTATTTCAAAAGTGAAGGCATATTTGAATTTTAGGTGTAAAATAAAGAAACAACAGAAATTTTTTACTTATTTGGCTAAACTAAACATATTTACTTGTGAAAATATATATACTTTATGTTGGTTATAATTTTTAATTTCATTTTTATTTATTTACTTATTTGAAGCTTACTAATTTATTAATAGGTGTCAAATTAATAAGTAAACTAATTTGCATATTTGTTTCTATTTAATTCAGTGTAGTAAACTAATATAAATTAGTTTCCATATCAATACACGTTATTAGAATTTCACTTTGATAACAATTTTTTTTTTACTTATTTGAAGCTTACCAAATTAATTAAGATGGATTTATAAAGATTTTGTTTCCATATCAATATGCAATCAAAAATAAAATCTAATAAAAACAAAAGGTATAAAAATAAATAGATAATTGTTATATATAATGACATGACAAGATTATGTGACACTTTGTATGCTCTTAAAAAGTTCCTCATTTATATACTGAGTATATATATTGATTTACTTCATAGGGAGTATTAAATTAGGTAAATAAATTGTTATTCTACTAATCACTCTCCATCACGTGCATTATACTGGTACAACGTTCAGTTTGAATTTACTGTGGGACACACTATATTTTCATCATATTGCGTAAATGGATCAAAATGAGAATTTTAAATTTGATTTATAGTCGTTCCACTTTTTAAAAATTGGCCTTTTGGCTATAACTGAACCGGTTACACGAGGAACGCACATTTCGCATTTCGAGCAAAGTGCGAATTTCCAGGGCACAACTTTGCTCAAACGTTCCTCAATTTCTCCATTCATCTGCTTCCTTCGGAAGACCACCAGCCGTTATGTAAAAAAAGTGCTTCATTTCTGTAGCAAGAATTTCATCAATGGCTTTGTTTACTGCTCTCTGCCGGGCTTGCATTTTGTATGCTTTGCTGTTCTTCCCTGTGTGCTTCGCCGGCTTCGAGTTGGAGTACTCTTATGTCACCATATCTCCACTCGGTGTTCCTCAGCAGGTATACTCTGAAGCCATTTGGACTGCATTATGTATTGTTCTTAAGTAGAAATTATAGTGGGCTTTGAGTAATTTCCAGTCTGCTCTATGGGTCTAGTTAACTTTTTTGATAAGTGGAGCACATTGCATAAAAAGTAAACTTTTTTTTCGTTGAGCTTTGCACTTTTCTTGAATAGTGGTACTCTTTTGCTTTAATAATAGTAACAATATATTATTATAATAATTATTTTATTTTTGACTCTGCTCATTATTGATTTTTTACTGTGGTTTTCCCATCTATTTGTGTAATTGGTTTAAAAATGCGATACCCTTTGTATATGTTATATAAACTGGTCTTTTTAAGTTGATATTAGTGTCAGGATTCAAGTTTAAAATATAATCTTGAATTTGAGTGCAAGTGTGCAACTGACTTAAGTCTAGTTAACTTTGTGAGGGTTGTTTTACTCTTTATTTTATTTTGTTGGTAGAAGAGATATATAGTGAAGCAGCACTCATAAGATGAACTGCTTATTGGATATCATCTCATACAGGTTATTGCAGTTAATGGGAATTTTCCTGGTCCTGTTTTAAATGTTACAACTAATGACAATGTGGTGGTTAATGTGAAGAACAATCTGGATGAAGATCTTCTGGTTACCTGGTATGATTAAATAAACAAGGGGTTTGGAAGTTAAGAGAAACTTTGTTTGGAGGGGAAGAGTGTGAAAGTTAAGAGCAACTTTGTTTGGAGGGGAAGAGTGTGGAAGTTAAGAGAAACTCTGTTTGGAAGGGAGGGGTTTGGAGGGCTGAATCTATATACATACGTATATATGTACACACACATGTGTGTGTATGTATATCCATGGAGTACTTAATTATGCATTTCTTTTTGATATTTTTGAACAATAGAAGGAATAAAATAACAGGGGGTTCATATAACATCTCAATTACTTTTTGTTTGTTTTCAGAAATAATGTATTTATTATTTATAAAGATATAAAAGAAGCCATTGTTTATTTGTGAGGGACTCATTTTTACAGGTCAGGAGTTCATATGTGGCGTTCTTCTTGGCAAGATGGAAATCTGGGAACGAACTGCCCTATCCCTTCAAAGTTGAACTGGACCTATGAGTTTCAGGTCAAGGATCAGATAGGAAGTTTTCTCTATTTTCCATCCACATTAATCCAGAGATCATCTGGTGGCTTTGGTTCTTTCATCGTCACCAATCGCCCAGTTATCAGTCTGCCTTTTGATTTCCCTGATGGGGATATAGTCATATTCATTGGTGACTGGTTTACCAGAGATCACAAGGTATGTGTTGCAATACTCAACTTTGGAACTTCAGTATTTAATATTCTAATTCATTGCTGATTGTTAGGCTTTGAGGGCTGACCTTGATAATGGTAAAGAACTGGGAATGCCAGATGGCGTCCTTATAAATGGAAAAGGACCCTACAGATACAACTCTTCTCTTGTTCCTGATGGCATTAATTATGAAACCATTAATGTTGATCCAGGTCAACTCTTAAAACAGTCTTTCATACATTTTTAAGTTTGAGCATCTCTTTTGTTTGGATTCTTTACTCTTAATTTTGTTCTATCCTTCTTCCCCTAGTATATTTTTTGTTTCCAAATGGAACATTAATATTAAACAAATGCTTATGTTTCGTTTATTGTTGTATCCATTTCTTGGACGGGATAAGCGGCATATATATATCCCTGAATTATCTCATAGAACTTGTATATCCCTGAACTTCTGTTTGGAACAATTAAACATCAAAGTGTAAAAATGGAACAAATATACCCTTGTCCATTCACTTTTCTTTAAAAAACTTATGTACCGTCAATCAATTTTTCTAAAGAGTAAAAAAAGGAATGAACATATAACTTTTAAAAGGCTTATAACTTTTTTTTACACACGGGTATATATGTTCCCCATTTATACTTTTTTGTGTTTATGGTTCAAAAAAAGTTATAGAATTAACACGTTATGCTCTCTAAGGTATAGTGCATAGGTATATTTGTTCATTCTCCCTTGATTGGACTAGATCTACAATGAACATCCCTTGCAATTATTTCGTGTTTATATATTTAATTATTACCAAATACCAAGTCATTTTTCTACATCCCCTGTGAATTGTGTTCATACTCTTAACCCGGAGAAGGTTTCAAATAATTTGCAGGCAAAACTTATAGAGTTCGGGTGCATAATGTTGGAGTCTCAACTTGTTTGAACTTTAGGATTCAAAGCCATAATTTGCTCTTAGTAGAGACAGAGGGAACTTATACCTCTCAGCAGAACTTCACTAGCATAGATATTCATGTAGGGCAGTCCTACACTTTTTTGGTTGCAACAGACCAGAACGCGAGTAGTGACTACTATATTGTTGCAAGCCCAAGATTTGTAAACCAATCAATTTGGCAGAAGGTTACTGGTGTTGCTGTTTTGCATTATTCCAATTCCATGGGTAAAGCAAACGGACCTCTCCCTGATCCTCCCAATGATATGTATGATACTTCCTATGCGTTAAATCAGGCCATGTCCATCAGGTTCTTCACTTTATAATACTTCCTATACAGTTTTGTGCCACATGTCACTGTATTTTCCACATGACATTCTGTATAGTATTTTCTTTACAGGATGAGTGAAATGGAAGAAGTTATACACCTGACATTTTTCCGTACGTAAATGGAGAATATAATACATGTTGGTCATTGTTATTCAAATATAATACACCATTTATGAAGTGTTTTCTTTACTAAGGAGTACTTTCTTGTGAAACACTTTATATAAAGAAAACACTTAAGAAATTATTTATTATTTTGGAAATGGATGAAGAGTTATTACAAAATAAAACTTCTTTCATAATCAATAATTATAGTTCGTGAATATGAATTTCATTCCAATAAAATATTTTCGTTTTACTTTATCAATAATAGGTAAATGGATGGTCTGTATGGCATGATATGCATGTGCTCCTATTAATTACATTAATTTAAACTTTGTTTTAAAATAATTCAATAAGTTTTAAGAATACGAAAACAACATGTGAAATGCCACCTGGCTCATAGCGCGCTACATGGAATCGTGTGGCGTGCCACATGGCATTTGTTGGTATAATGTATGGAAACTTAACAGGACCAAGATGATTTGAATTGCACATTTAGCCTTCTTTTGGTTTTGATAATATTTAGTAAAATGGACAGTTTTATTGTGTTAGGCAAAATGTATCTGCTAGTGGAGCCCGTCCGAACCCACAGGGGTCTTTCCATTATGGCTCCGTTAATGTTACAGATATTTACATCTTAAAGAGTTTCCCGCCAGTGATGATTGAAGGGAAGCGGCGATCTTCTTATAACATGATATCCTTTGTTAATCCTAAGACTCCAATAAGGCTTGCTGATGTATATGATGTGCCGGGTGACTACAAGCTTGATTTCCCAAATAAGCCAATGAACAGACCACCTAAGATGGATACATCTATCATCAATGGTACATACAAAGGTTTCATAGAAATTGTATTGCAGAACAATGACAGCGTTGTCCAGAGTTTTCACATGAATGGTTACTCATTCTTCGTTGTTGGGTATTACTCTTAAGCAGAAGTTTGCTTATTATTATTAACTCCAGCGATTTATTTATTATTTACTGTGTAATTATTATGAATGTCACACAGGATGGGATACGGAGAATGGACAGAGAACAATAGGGGATCATATAATAGATGGGATGCAATATCCCGTTGTACTACTCAGGTTCGTAAGTTCGATTGTATTTATTGACTTTGAACATCGTATGCATCTTTCTCATGGCTGTAAATCTATGGGGGGGATGTATTGTTTTGTAAATCCTCACTTTTTGTTCAAATATACGTAGTAATACTTTTACGGTCTGTTTGGAACTCAGAAAATTTAGACTATTGAGCATATGAAAAAACTAAAGCATTAAGACAATAGCTTTCTTTATTAAATTTAAATCTTTCCATTTTCCTAACATTTTCCAAGTTCCAAACAAACCCTTTGGTGTCACTGTATTAATTATTTGACCTTTTGAAAAAACTATCACTTCAAGCCTCACTGCTTATGGTGTTTGTTGTGACTAAGAGGGCATATGTACAAGTTTTGAGAGAGGTCTCTTGTCAAAATGACAAGGGAAGGCTTGATCCTTATACACCCTTGTGCTGGGACCCTTCCTCGGACCCTTGTCTTGTAGGGACGTCAATGTGCACCTGACTGCCCTTTTTCTTTGAAATATAATCATGTGTATGTGTAGGTATTCGCTGGAGGGTGGACATCAGTATTGGTATCTCTGGACAATGTAGGGGTATGGAACCTTAGAACAGAGAACCTTGACAGATGGTATTTAGGTCAAGAAACTTACCTCAGAATTGTCAATCCTGAAGATACTGGAAATAAAACAGAATTGCCTGTGCCAGAAAATGCACTTTACTGTGGTGCCCTTGCTTCAATGCAGAAGTATTTCCAAAACTCTCTCTCTCTCTGCAAATGTACTGGTTAGCTATTTTTTAACTTTCTTATTCTTTCTGCCATTTCAGGCATCCAACATCTGCTGCAACCATCCATGAACGCATAGGGCTGTTATCATCATTACTGTTGATGTTTGCAGCTGTCACTTACTTACATGTTACCTGAGGTTTGACCATTGTGCTTTAGAATAGGAATGGGGATACTTTTGGAATATATATGTGTATGGTAGGGAGTTTTGGGTTCTTTTGCTTTTATGGTCCTAATTTTATTTATTTGCTTTCAAAATGTCCCACCATGTCTATTTGCACTCTAAGTCTGTGTAATCACTCATATCACAGCATTTTCCGCCAAAGGTGGTATTTTTTAAAATGTCTGAACTAAGACCACCCTGTGTTAGCACTTTTTTTTAGAAATATGTTTGGTTTGACCAGATAGAGTTGCTAATTTTGTAAAGTTGGAATTATTAATTCATGAAATATAACTCACATTTTAAAACATCAAATTTAACAGATTCAGCATATTTGTGCCTTCTGTTTTGGTAAAATAAATGAAAAATTGTGGTAGTTGAACGTAGCACCTACTAGGAAATGCTACCCCAGTCCGAAATGAAGTTTCCATTTTGATTTTAACACTTCTCAATGTTGATGCGTGTCCATTATTTTGCACAAGTATATCATTAGAATGTGTGACGATTCATTATTTCAATAATACAGACCAAAAGAAATTTCATGTGGCATAGTTTTCACTTTTCAAATATACAATGGTCTAAGTAAGCAATTTTTGACTCCAAAAGTCAACGAGAATTTTAACTTGTGAGAGTGAAGAATAAATAATTAGGAATACCATAATAACATTTGCTTTTATTTGACTTTTACACTATTTACGTACAATAAATTTGATCATGTTCCTTTATTACTTATTAGTGTGTGTAACAAATAAAGATCAACTTTCTCCATGTATAACAAATGCTATTAATGTAATTTTTGCCACGTTTATCTCCATTTATAGATTCTAATGATCAACTTTCTATTATTTTTACTGCTCTAAACTCAAAGCCTCAAAAAATTTAAAACATATTTGTGCTTACTTAAAACCTTTGTAAATGATGTCCTAAATGATGCGCTTTTCTTTTTAGATAGGGAAACGGTCAAGGAAAGGATGTAAAAACACATCTTTGTCCTGTTTCTGTCCTTATCCTATTTTTGTTGTCTTTATATTCTCTTATATCTGTTCATTTTTCATGTAAAACATCAAATCCATAAGTCCAACCCAGAAAAAACAGGTAGTACAATATAATTAAACCAAGGAACTAAACCCCACTCCATTTATTCATAGTATTATAGCAAAAATGTATAGATTAAAAACTACCACTATCTCTATCTCTATAATCATAAAAGAAAATTATCTAGCTAGCTAGTTCATATATTTTTGAAATGGGGCAGCCCCAAGGAGACTAGAATTGAAAGGCACGCCGGTGGATGGCAACCAAGAGTTGCCATCAATGAACAAGTTCACCGTGAACTGCAAAGCCTCTTCCGGCGCAGTGAGCTCGTGGACGCCACCCCACCTCACTCTCCCCGCCGTGGAAGAACCAGGCCCTATGTTTCCATACTCCGCATAATACACATCGTTCTGAAAAGAAGCTTCCTTTCCCTGCCACCACATCCACCCCGCCGGATCTATGAAAGAGTCCATGAACGTCTCCATGACAACGGTTCGAGAGCAAAGCCCCCACGGCCTGCCCAAGAACCCACTGATCCCGCTCAGGTCCGTCCCCGGTTCGATTGATATGTGTGATCCCTGGATCACGATCCCGGTGTCTTCTGTCGGTGTGTCGCGCTTTGATGCTGTGATCACGACGGCCTCGCCGTGGGTTGACTTTCGGGCCAAGATGTTGCAGTCCTGGAAGATGGCTTTTGCGTTTCCGAAGATGAAGTCGACGGTGCCATAGATGTCACAGTTTTTGTAGAACTGTCGCCCTTCGAAGACGTAGAGGGTGTCTTGGTAGCCTTCGATTGAGCAGTTGTAGAACACGGCCCGGTCGCCGCTCACCCGCAGCGCCACGGCCTGCCCGTTGTCCGGACCGGCAGTGTTTCTAAATGTTATGCCGCGGGCTATAAACCCAACTGCGTCAACACCTGTATTAGAAGTGCAATTAGTTTTCCAATCCTTAAATTTTACCTAGTATTATACCTCCTCTGATATTCTTTTCCCTACTTTTCATTTGAATTGGGTATCACATTTTTCCCATATTCTTGAAAGGAATTGTTTATTTGTACACTTCATATATGTATATTTTTTCAACCATTTCTATAGCAACGGCATTGATACCATATATTTCAGTTATTAAGAAAGATGGAGTTTTTTTTATCCATGTACGCACCGGATAATATATTAAAGCTAATCTATATAAGTTTGATAGTAAATCTAGTTAGAGTTGATTTTTCCACAAAATGGAAAATGTATGATAGTAACGTTCTAACTCATCTAATTTTTACGATTTTCTATTTTTGATGTTTAAAGCTGAACACTTATATATACAAAGTTTTACAATAATATTATTAAAATAAAATATATCAGAAAAACTATTATTAAATTACTATTAATCTTTGTCACTACAGTATATAATTAAACTTAGGTGAAAGTACTAAAAATTACTAATATAACCATTACTTAAAAGGTCACAATTTTGTCTACCGTAGTATTTATTTACTCTCACACACACCTACAACGACTACAAGTATGTTATAATGTTGTGGAGCGTGGATCAAATAAAAAACGTTCTTAACGTGTGAAACATGTGAAATGCACTTATAATCGCCTCTGTTGTATTTGTATGTTAAGTTATTACACTTTAAGCAATTGTTAAAAAATACACATTTTTACAGTGAAAATTTTATAAATAAATTATTATTTTTACATACGTGAAATATTAACAGAAGTGTTCACCGTCACCCTACAGATAATAATAATACAAGTTCATTTGGATGCTATGAAGCTCTATTTTTAGGTCTATATAATACGTAGTAATATAAAACTAAATTTTTTGTATACATGCATAATAAATTGATAAATAAAAAGGAATTAAAACAATTTATTTGGACTCATAAAGAGTTGCTTATATTTTACTCCTACTTTGGTTTTACTTATTTACTTATCTATTTATTTATTTATTTATTTATTTTCTATTCAGATTAGATTATTTTTCTCAAAATATGACTTATTTACTTTTAAAAGTAAAAATGTTACTTATATTTTTGTCAGAATTAGACGAGTCACATATATTTGATAAAATAAAATACTCACATATATATATATATATATATATATATAGACACACACACTTTGCTTTACTCATATTTTCCTCTATTTGTTTGAATTTGTAAATATAATTATTTTAAATTTAGCTTTCATTTTCAAAGTAGAATAAAACATAAGAAAGCATATTTTCTTTAATTCTTTTAGAAATTGTTCAAAATAGGACCAAAACATCATCAAAGCTCCAAAATATGATCAAATATGTATTTTTCATAAAATAGGACTTATTTAGTCCTATTAAAAGAATACAAGAATACAAACTTACCTATATAAGATTGCATGATTCCTAGTTAATTTGAGAAGTTTTGTAATATTTCATTCCTATTTTGAGAAATTTCTCTTTATTTTTCACTTACCAACGGTTGCGGTGTCAAAAGTAGAACCACCACTGGCACCAACACTTCGTTGGCCAGTGATAATAGTCCGTCCCTTTCCGTCTCCGAGTAGAGTGAGACGTGGGAGATGGTCGTCGATGATAATATTCTCATTGTAAACTCCTGCTTTTATTTTTATAACAAACCTCCGACGCTGAACCTTGCTATGGACCGCCATGGCGATGGCCTCTGCGATGGTCGGGATGTTTCCTGGTCCATTCCCGACCACGAGGTCTGGCGCGTGAGGCAAACCTTTTGCCATTGTCTTTAGCGTCCACATAGGAGAAGATAGGAATATCATGGTTAGAAACAACAAAAATGCTAGCTTATGCATGCTGCAGCTTGGCACGTCGACAGTACTAGGTACTTGCACCATGCATATTTTTAACATGATATGGATTTGATATTTATGTATAACTTGCTTCACTTTTAATTAAGTACTTTTAACTCCTCGTGGATGAATTAAATAAACCACCCTTTAATTTAATTTAAGGCATTAAGTTGAGCCTTTATTTTATTAGAAACTGTTGCCTCATTAAGTAAAAATGCGCATCTAATTAAGTATAATGGTGAAGTTAAAGATATGGTAACTCTTGACATATTGATTACGCTAGAAAAGATACAAAAAGCGTATAGTAACGTTTTATGATTTTCTGACATGAAGCTAGAAAGTAAAAATAAGTCTACTCCACGGCTTCACATGAAACAAGGCCATTTTTTATTTGCACATGAAATAAGAAGTTAAACAATTGTCTAAGTAATTAAGTCTGTCCAGGGAAGTACGTAGTATTAATCACAACTTTGTTACATTAATTAATTAGAAGTCGTGCAATTTTGGCCACTACTCCTATATATACGATTTGGTACACGTAGTTTTTATCCTCGGTTTTGGAATAGGTTCATGTATCACTACTTATTACTCCCTCCGTCCTATTAGAAGATTCTCACTTTTCTTTTTTGAACGCCCCATATAAAGGTTCCCAATTCTATTTTAGGAAACAATTAACAATCTTCAGTGACAAATTAATCATTAAATCTTAAAAGTAATACATTTATAAATCACAGTTATCAATACTAACAACATTATAATATATACATATTAAAATTATTTCTCAAAATATACTCTAGGTACTTTACTTAATTATTGTCTAAATAACCGTGCTATTTTGCTATGAGAACCTTCCAACGGGATGGAGGTAGTGTATACTTCCATTTCAAATTGCTTTGCAAATTTAACATTTCTCAATCAGTCAATACTAAAGTTAAATCTTCTCTGTCGATAACTAATTCAATTTAAACAATTAAAATTTTCATATTTAAAAACTACATTAAAATATCTATAAAGTTGTAAAATCCTAATTACAATTTTATTAAAAATTGATATGCTAATTAAATGAATTAAATGATCCCGTTTGACTCAATAAAGTCAACTTTGCAACTCAATTTGGGACTGAGTGATTGAATTGCAAAATGGGAAAAATAATTAAAATATCCCAAACTATTAAAGTGTGAGATAAACACCCCAAACTTTCATATGTAATTTAAATACTACAAAAACATTATATAAAAATTTATTGTAGCACCATGGTCATATATTATTTTTATCAAAAATATAAATTTAAGGTGTTAATTGCATAATTTAAAATAGCAAATTATAAATGTTTTCATTATATAGAGTGGGGGTAGTATTTTTTAATTTTACAAAGGAAGTTTAGAATGTTAATTGTATCTTCATGAATTCTAAAATATTTTAAATTATGAAATTAACACCAAAGATTAACATTTTTGAAAGAAATAATACATGATCACGGTGCTAAAATAACTTTTTATTTAAAGTTTGAGATATTTAAATTACATATGCAAGTTTAGGGTGCTTACCTCACACCTATTCAAAGTTTGGGGTCTTTTAATTATTTTTTCCTTGTAAAATTGTTTTTTTAAAGCCAAACATATTCATTTTATCCATTTGATTAGGATATCAATTCTTAATTAAATTTTAATTTGGATTTTATAATTTTATTGATATTTTAATGTAGATTCTGAATATGTAAATTTTACTCCCTCTGATCCCAAATGAAATTCACACTTTCCTTTTTGGGTAGGTCCAAAATAAACTTCACACTTCTTCTCCCTTCCTTATTCGGCAAATTATTCACATCAAAACAATGCAAAATAGTGCAAAACAATGCCAAATAGTGTCAAACAGTGTCACAACAGTGTACTCTACAGTAAAGTCAAATTTATTTCCTTAATTTGTGTGAAGTCGAAGTGTGAATTTCATTTGGGACCGAAGGGAGTATTTATTAAAATTAAATTAATGATCAATATGAATGACTTAACTTTATTATTGATTGTCTAAAAAATGTTAAATTTGCAAAACAAAATGAGATGAAGTGAATATTATTAATTATCCTATGTATCAGTCGTCTATATCTGTCCTCATAAGTTATAAATGAATTTAATGGACTAAATACGCCGTATGAAATTAATGTTTATTTTCAATCGTACATGTTTTGTTTAGTTCTGTTATGAATGGATCCCAATTTTATAAATAAAGCGTAGTATATTAACGTGAAATTTAATAAGTTTATATTTTTATAATTATATTTTCAACAAAGAACATTTTCATATTATCAATATTGCCGTGTATAAATATATATTTGGTCAAAAATTTGTGAGAATAATGGAAAGGTTGTTTCCTAAGGAGCCCTGGCAGATATATTTATATTAAAGAGAGTTTAATGTAAAGTACAATACTAAGCCTCTAATAATTCTATTACACCCCCTCAAGCTGTGCGGGAGATACAACGCGCATGTTGTCTTTTAAAAAATGAAAACGTTGACTAGAGAGAATTTTAGTAAAAATATCTGCCAACTGTAGATGAGTAGGAACGTGCTTAACAATCAGATCTCCGTGATTCGGACCCAAGAAGACAGCAAAGCCTGTGGTGGACCGAGAACTATCAGGACAACCTGCCCAATCAGCATCGGAGTAAGCAACTACACAGGTTGGCCGATTAGACTGCTGATGCCATAGCCCACGATCTCGTGTGCCCTGCAAGTACCTAAAAATTCTTTTGACTGCAAAAAGATGAGTGGTACGAGGAGCATGCATGAACTGAGACACTAAGTGTACTGCATAAGTAATATCTGGCCGTGTCAAAGTTAAATATTGTAATGCACCAACCATGCTGCGATACTCAGTAGAATCAGACAGCAACTCACCATCAGAAAGAGACAGAGTGGTACAGGAAGCTAACGGGGTGCGAACAGGTTTTACAGTATGGAGATGAAAACGGGCTTGAAGATCAGTAACATATTTATGTTGAGACAGAAACATATCTTTAGGTGAACGAATAACCTCAACACCCAGAAAATAATGGAGATTACCCAAGTCTTTCATAGCAAAATGACGAGAGATAATCGAAATAAATTGGGTAACAGATGATTCAGAATTGCCAGTAATAATAATATCATCCACATATAATAATAAATAAATAATAGTATTATTCTGGCGGTAAATGAACAAAGAATTGTTAGATTTACTACAGGAAAAATTATGTTGCAGAAGGAAGCTACTGAATCTATGAATCCAGGCCCGTGGAGCTTGCTTAAGACAATAAATGGCCTTACACAGACGACATATATGATTAGGAAATTGGGGGTGAATAAAACCACGGGGCTGACGCATATAAACTTCTTCTGTCAGATGACCATGTAAGAAGGCATTTTTAACATCAAGTTGCCGTATAACCCACCCAAAAGAAATAACAAGAGTAAGTACAATACGATCAGTGGTGGGTTTTATGACCGGACTAAAGGTTTCAGAGAAATCAATACATGCCTGCTGATTAAAACCTTGTGCAACTAATCGAGCTTTATGGCGCTCTAATGATCCATCAGAATGATATTTAATTTTATAAATCCACTTACATCCAACAATATTCTTAGAGCTATCAAATGGCACCAACTCCCATGTTTTATTATTAATGAGTGCATTAAATTCATCAGCCATCGCCTCACGCCATTTTAAATGTTTATTTGCCTCAGTAAAACAGGTAGGATCTGCATTAGTAATAACCGTACTTAAATTAAAAATTGTTTTGGATTTAAAAATTCCTGACTTAGCACATGTTTGCATGGGGTGCTGATTAACTACCGTAGTGGACGTAGGTGATGGGGGGTCGGGTGATGCACAGTCGGCCGAGGAGGTGATATCTGGCAGGCTGGACAGAGTTCGGCTGACGGAGGCTGGAGGTGAGGGTGGCGGGTTGTTGGTTGGCGTGGGGAAGCTTGACGATGGTACAGAGGAAGTGATAGGACTACTAGGTGGCCGAGAAGGGGATGGGAGCCGTTGCAGGAGTTGGTTCATGGTGATGATAGGGGATTGGACTGGTGGGTCTAGGGTAACCTCAGTTAGGTTCATCGGAGAGTGTGTAGTAGCGATAGAATGTGTTGGACTAGGTGATAGTGTTTTAAAGGGATATGTGTCCTCATGAAACCTAACGTGACGACTGATATAGACGCGACCTGTGATAGGATCAAAACAACGATAGGCCTTATAACCAGATGCATAGCCAAGAAAAATACACTGAACAGAACGAGGGGATAATTTATTAGCTGAGGTGGCTGAAAAATTCGGATAGCAGGCAGATCCGAAAACTCGCATAAAGGAGTAATCCGGAACACGGTTAAAAAGTTTTTGGTACGGAGAAAAGCCATTTAAGGTAGGAGAGGGTAATCTGTTAATAATATATGCAGCAGTAAAAATGGCATCAACCCAATATTGACTCGGAACCGAAGCTTCAAGAAGCATGGTCCGAGTTAATTCAAGTAAATGAAGATGTTTGCGCTCAGCAACCCCATTTTGTTGAGGTGTGTCAGGACATGATTTTCGAAAATATATACCATTAGCCAAGAAAAATTGCTGCATATTATGATTTACAAATTCACCCCCTCCATCACTTTGAAAAATTTTAATTTTATGATTAAAAAGATTTTCAACCAATGCCTTAAATGTTTTAAAGTGCATAAAAACTTCACTTTTGTGATGCATAGGACAAAGCCAAGTATAGCGGGAAAAATCATCAATAAAACATACATAATACTTGAATCCCATGTTGGAAAATACAAGAGACTGCCACACATAGGAATGAATAATTTCTAGAGGGAAAATTGAATTATGATTAGCATCCAGAAAAGGCGAACGTTGTGATTTTCCTAAACGACAAGCCACACACGCATGAGTAAAAGAAGAATGACTACATAGAAATTGTTTTCTCTTAAGAAACTGTAAAATACTATCACCGCAGTGACCTAATCTACGGTGCCACACATGGCTAGAAGCTAAACTTGAAGCAAAAACTAATG